AAAGAGCAGGAAGTGCTGAAAAGGAAGAAAATGGGAATATGCAGATAAGCATCTTGGATGTCTACTGATTCTACATATTCCCCTTGTTTCAGAAAGGCAATAACCAACCTTGCGGATTCCAGGTGAAGCTTTGGAACATGAAGGAGCTTGTTTAGGGGTTTCATGTCAAGAATAGGACAAATACTCCTGTTGGGTTTTGTAACCATAAACAGGTTTGAATAGAATACTTTGAACCTGTCCTCCAGAAGACCCGGAATTACAACTCTCTGGGACAAGAGATGTTTCAGAGTGGTCTATAGATCTGACTGTCCTTGAGAAGACTTTGGTTGGTTTGAGGGAAGAAAATGATGAGGGGGTAAAGTTTTGGACTCTATTTTGTACTGCTTTGAAACCACCAACTGAGACCACAGGTCTTGAACATATGTGACACTTAGAAAATAAACAACTGTCTCTGTTGTAAGTGCAGGAAAGTGCACTTTTCTGCACTTAGAGACAGTTATTTATACACCTTTGCAGAGGATGCTCTGTTTATGTATTTACATCTAGTATATTGTTTGTACTTTATTTGTGTAATCTGACTTGCTGATGGACTTTAAATTTATACACAAAGCGTTGCAAATTTTCACTTGTATTTCTTATTGAAGTAATGTATAGCCAGTGCATTTTGTTGTAGCTGTTATAAGTGATAATATTCAGTTTGGCACAAGTGTCTAATTATCTATTATCTTTTTTTTTATTGGCAAAAGCTTTAAATGAAGGAATATCTTCTAAAAAGTACAGTAAAATGTTTAAGATTGAGATGGAACAGACCACTTTTTGAAATCTCTTGCATTACGTAGGAGTTCGGCAATAATTCTCAGAGGGGTGACCCAATCATCATAAAATGCCCATTCTATTTGTTTAATGGAGAATGTCTTTTTAAACCTGGCAGATCTCTTAGTACTCAAGTGGGATCCACTGCATAGGTGGGGATTCTCCCCCCATTCCCTTATGCTAACCCAATCCTGTAGTTGCCCTTATTTTACATACTACATGGCCCTAGAAGCTCTGGTCATATATTGGTAATATTCTGGTCCCCCACCCTTTGGACTCGAACTTAAATGACTTTATTGGGTGTCAGTGATTATTCTTACTACTTCATAATATATAGCGTTTTCTTTTACACTAAATGCATTTGTAACTACCTACTTGTAACTCTGGGACTACGCCCCTGCTGTTTTGATGTGAAATTGTGCATCCCCCCTTTCTTTTTGGAAAACCTAACCAGTAACTGTATTTTTTGTTCTTGGTTCAAAAATATTTGAATAAAAAAAAAAATAGGGTCCTGTTCCAGTGCAATGAAAGCGCAATCACTCTGAGCAGTTTGAGTGTTTTGCAGGTTTTTTGGGCAGATCAAATGTTCACCTGAACGTTTGCCACAGTTATCTTGCACCTGCTTTCCACCTTTGTAGTGAAGGTATTCCTCTCTGGGGTATGCACGGAGTAGGGTGAGTTAGGAACCAGGAGCAGAATCAGATCAAGGCCAAGGTCAGCATCAAGTGGGCAGATGTACCAGAACAGCAGGCAGGAAGCAAGGTCATGTCACAAGCCAGAGTCAGCAACAGAGGTTCAGAGGAATAAACAGGATGAGCAAGCCAGGTTAGGATACAGATGAGCACAGGATCAGCTCACAAACAAGGAGCTGACAACCACTCAGCAATGAACCTGAGCCCTGTAAGGCTTTAAATCAGCCACTAATCATCAAAGTCCATTAAACAAGCATGCTCATGCATATGAACACCTGTAGAATGCAAATGGTCATGTGCACGTGTATGCGCACGTGTCCATATAGATGTATGCTGTGCACAGATCTATGGACTATTCTGTGTGCTTGCACATTTCATGGGTATTCATTTGAGCATGGGCATTCCTTTGAACATAGCTTTGAGCATGACTTTCTTGACAAGTGAATACATTTCAAACACAATTCTGTTTTTAGCATAGCATGAATACTATGTAGGAAACCTAGGGTAAACCTGTCCTACCTGTGCATGGTACTGGTCCCTAATCAGGGTCTGGGCTTTGCCAGTTCTGATGGGCATACCCCAGGAGGAGTATTCAGGGTCTGAGTTCCGTCATAGGGATGGACCACAACCCAGGACCTGTATAACACTCTGTGGCTAACTAAACATATTGTACTCAGTTCCAACTGTGAGTGCCCAAGTAGGATCCAGCACCCAAAGCAACATTACAGGCTGTCCAGACAGCATGGGATCAGGGTACAGCTCCCAAGGTTATACCTAGGTTGCACTGAACTGGATGCACTGCTTTTATTGCTGAACAAGAAGACAGTGAGAAGTGCATTGAAAGTGAACAAGTTACATATGGGAGAAAATCTCCATCACCTTGGAACACTACCAAAAACATTGAGGTTTAATGGAGTGGGGTAGGGTTATAGGGGAACACCCAGGGAGGCATGTCCATAAAAGCTTTGTCAGTGTCTAATTACCTGAAGTTACCAGCCTATAACCGAAGGTCTAATAATATCCAACGTGAGTTCTGTGTTGTTCAATTGAGATTAAACATTTTCATTTATGAATGGGCTGTGTACTTTCCTTATGCTGTAAAGCCGCATCCACTGGGTTGGCAATTTCCCATGCCCATTAAATAACTCATGAAATAATTTGTGTCAATTGGCAAAGATATCAAATTTATATCTTCAAGTGGAACACTTCTTTTTTAATTTTGAATAGAGTTGGGAAGGGTTGGATTGTCTGGCTTTATTGCAGTCTTTTTTAACCTTTGGGGAGACTTGGCTTCATTTCCTGGTGACCATTGTCATTGAAATTCACAATTTTAGATGTGTCACTGGTATAAGGGGAATGGAGAAATCTTCCAGCTGGAACATCTGTTTGTGTCATAACTGTGGAACAGGAAGTAAAGCTAAATCTCCCCAGCACAGCTGACATAGACAGCAATAAGAACCTGACAGAGATTCTAACCCTTTAACATATTCAAAACTGAAAAAGTTGCATCTCAATTTAACATAAAAAAACAGATCTTTACCTGTCTTTGTACAAAAAAAATAATAGAGAGAAGAGAAAAGAGAAAAGCCTATGTAGCTACCAATGTAAACTGCACATAAAACTTTATACTGTACTAGTATAAAACTACTAGATACATGCATACCCAAGGATTAGCCTTGGCTGTATCTGTCAATAAGTGTTGGACTACTGCATTCAGCTCACTGCACCTACCGTATACTTAATAATAACCATTTAAAGTCTATGCAGTCTTCCTATTCTTACCCTCATGCTTATGCAGCTAATGTTGTTTACCAACCATCATGCCCTGCTTCCCAGTTCCCAGACGGTTATATCTCATGGCTTTTTATATATTCTCTCCCCCAACCAACCAACCAACCAACAATAATCCATAAAGATGTTATTACTGCCCAAGAATGACTCATATAATTTACTGTATTTTCTAGATTCTGCTGTTATGTTTTAGTAATCTAATTTTACACTCTGTGATGATAATCTTTTAAAATCTTTGTCTAATTCACACCCTCATCTCCTCCACAACTTGCTCTTCTGAAATTGTGTTCCCCTATTTTAACCTAATGTATCCAAACCTAGCTGCCACGTTTCAAAAGAACCGTCCTCTCTGAGGCCTGGTTCACACTAATGCAGTTTGCTTTTGATTCGTTTTTTCAATGCTTTTTGCATTTCACTTTTTGTTTTTACACATGCTTTTTTGACGCATTTTTACTGCGTTTTGCGGGGGGGGGGGGGGGGGTCAGCTTTTTTGTTTCTTGATAAAGGGGAAATTTTTTTGTTGCTGGTCATAATAAAAATGCAAAAACATGGCAAAATCGCTCTACATGTGTTTCAGCAGCGTGTCCATTGAACTCAGTTGTAGCAAAATCACTGCTTTTTACATTTACAGAAAGTCACTGACCCCTTCTAAAAATTCAGCTACTCAAAATAGCATAGATGTGAATGTGTCCCCTAGGAAACTACACTAAATGACTGTATACAAATGGAGAAACAGAAAAAGGGCGCACCGACCTAGTGCATTATCGGTTAAAATAATTTATTAAAGAAAAAAAAATAGGTATCATACTCACAATGGACATAATAACACAGGCATGTCAAACTGAACAAGATGTATGATCCAAACAACATCTGAGTCCATATGATGGAACCCTGGATGACCAACTGGCTAACACGTTTCAAGGACACAACCTCTTCCTCAGAGCCAACTAAATGCCTGTAGCGCGTTTCTGCAAAAAGCACTAAAAAAAAACCGCATTGGTGTGAACCAGGCCTTAAAGTAATAAAGTAAATTCTGCCAAATTACACTGTTTCTACCCTACCAATCTTCAGCCTTGACATGCTAGATTCCTTTTGAGAATTCTGTGGGATGTGAGATGGAGAAGATGCAACCTCTGATATATTAACTTTCTAAATCAAATTTATGCTGCCATAAAAACTGTTCATGCTTTTCAAGACTTAGAAAAACGAACGCAAAGGGACACAACATTCCAATTACAATGTATTTTCTTTTCCTCCTGTGACAATGTCTCATAAAACTTGTCTGCTCCAGCTTACTCTGACTATCTCTGTGCCTCAACCCTGGCACTGACTGACCTATGAAGTGTTCCCCATCCATGGATATCCTATTCTCTGCCCATTTACTATACTGAAGAAATCTTCTAATGAGCCTTCTCTACCATCTAGCTTCCAACCCATTTCTTCTCTTCATTATACACCTACAGTATTTCTCAAACCTAACCCCCATCATCAATTGTGTCTAGTGTCTCTTTATCTATTAGATTGTGTTTCTTTAAGAGCAGGAAATTTGCATCCCTTTAGATTCGATGTATAATGCTCTGTGATACATTGGTTGCTATATATGAAAATGGATGGATTGTAACAAAAGCAAAAAAGCAAACATAATATACTTTAAATACTTATATTTGTCTATGTACCACCAAATCATAAAAACTTAATTTCTGATTAATGAATAGCAAAATTATCTGTATAACTAATACTTACTGGTAACCTGTCACTAATCATTCCAAGCAGTGGTGAACTAAATGAATACGACAAGGCGAGCCCAAGAAAAACCAGGCCAACATATCCAACTTTCAAATGAAACTGCAAAAACAAATATTTCAATGTAAAAAGACAAACGTTGAGCTTATAAATCAAAGTGCTTCTAAAACATCAAAGTTCTGTTATGCTTCAACAAAAAAGACAATATAAAATACTACAGACTTCAAGCATTTTAACATCTACCTTTCTAACCCTATGGTGTCAACATAGAAAAGGTCAGGCAAGTTTCATATGGGGGCAAACATAGATAATGATCATACTTAAAAAAAAGCCTTGTATACAACATGTGACATTTATTGCTAGGCATTTAATTTAGAAAAATAGCACCAAACAATATAGTAAAAACACATAAATTTGTGACATAAGGCTTAACACTCTTTATAAAGACCAGCAGACATATACACACATACATACATACCCCCATACTCTCCTGAGGTAGTGGAGCATTTCTCTTTACTGCCTTTACTGAACATCATTGAATGTTCATGTAGCTGTGAACTTACAAATATGTGTTATACTGCAGAGGGGGGGCCGGTCTATAATGGGGAGGGGTTATCAATGTCTTGTGGTATGAATGTATATGCCAGCCTTACAATTTTAAGAAAAACCTTTTATGGATACATAATAAATACAAATGAATTATAACAAATTAATTTAATATTTTATATAATAGTGTATTGTATTGGTACATAGAAAATCGTCATGTTGGTGAGGTGTTGTCAATTTTTATTTTTTTTTAATGCAGGCTCTGCCCCCCTTCACTCTCCATCTGCAGCCTACTAGGATATTGGTGCCACATTACCTGTATCATGTAAAAATATGTCACACGAACAGATAGAGATGTGGCACCCTGTCTCTTTATAAATTGTTCTATGAATGGAGGAAAAGTATATACTATATAGTATATACTATTCATAAAACAGTATGCAAAAAGGTAAACAGCACTGTATGTATCCTTTGGGCTTGTACGTATCAGCTTACAGAAGAAAACAGGTGTCAAATTTATGTGGAAAAAAACAACTATTTAGGAAAGTGGAGTTCCTCTTTAGGCATCTCTGGTTTCATTCAACACACAAGAGATCTGTCCCTGGCTCAAAGTGGGCCCTTCATTGAAGCTAATGAAGTGTGCAGATTGCGTTCTAATAGCTTTTTCCTTGACAACAGCAGGCCAGGGAAAGTGATGTTATGTACATTGCTTCCAGATTCTTTGCAGCTCAGCAAATGGACATTCATTGGCCTCCATCTCCTCCACCCAGCGATACTTGCCACGCAGGTCCCAGGCCCTCAGGTGGGACAGTGGAGCCAAGGAAGCAAGGAGGGGGAAACTGCCGCTGCCACCTATGTAAACCTTCTGTCAGTGGCAGAGAAAGGATTCTAGGGTGTTGTGGAATTTGGTCAATTACAGCCCCATCAATTGGATTTCCCCAGTATGGGTATAGAGAACTCTTTGTGGGGGTGGAGAAGTTCTTTTCCAAAGCAGTGCTATCAGGCACTTTAACACAGTTACAGTATGGCTATACGTTGATTAGTTTTGTGGGATACTTGTGTTACCCCTGGGAAATAACATAAGGGATCTGGTGATATCCTTTGCCTGATAATGTAGAAATCAAATTTGGTATGATTGTGTGACAGGTCCAAAAAGATCGAGTAAAGTGCTTACTGCTTTTCCGCATCTCCCGCATGGGTTGGAAGTAAAGGAGTAAATTGAATGATTGTGTATCGGGGTGTAATATCAATGGCAGATAATTTAAAAATGCATTCTCTTGATATAGGCTGTATGTATCCATGACCCGTGTGAGGGTCATGTATACCTGCAAGGGAATACATAGATGTTCTGTGCATCCCTGCTCAGGAAGTCCCATAGCATTCAATTAGGACAGAGAAGCTGCATGGACAAAGCCACTGCTACCAGTTTGACATCTGTGTGGGTGCTTGTGAATGGTTCTGAATGCAGCCTGCACCCGCACAGCTGTCATATTAGGAGCAACAGCTGTGTCCATGCAGCTGCTGCATCCCCGTAGACAGCAAATGGACTGCTGGTATCCTATGCCAGTAAACATGAGTGAACGAGGCCATACATATGGATTTACTAACCCTATGCCATATAGTTTGCCAGGTTGTATACAGGAGTTCCTGAGCCAAATCTCTTTCCCAGTAGAGCGTGTGTAGTTATGCTTTCGAAATTGGTCAGTTGGCATCACCAGGAGTTTGTAAATATTTGATATTACCCTTTCCAAGATGGCCTGCCAGAAGCCAATTCAAAAGGCATGAGTGATAAGAACTATTGGGTTGTTGAAAGAGTTTGAGCGTAATGGAGAATTTGCACGTATGAATAAAAGGTTTTTGTAGGGTTCGAGGATCTGTTTGAATTTCAGAAAAGAAGGGCAGCCTCTTACTCCACCAAGTGTCCTAGTTTGAAAATAGAATGCTGACTCTAAGACAGAACCATATGATGTGTAAGGCTGTCAGGAATGACTGGGTTGAAAAGGAAAGAGGTCATACCAGATTTGGGTGTAGCAAGTGAGAATCTGTCTTCTGTTTCACATACAGATATTTTTTCATAAAGGACATTGTTCGAAAAAGGTCCATGTTTTTTACATTAAAAGAGGAGCTCTATAGTAGGAAGTTGGGTGGATGGGGATCAACCATAGTTTCCCAATTTCTCTCCATTTGGTAAAGGCAGGAAAGGTAGACCAGGAGGCCAGAGTAAAAAACTGCTGCCAGATAATATTCAGGACTGCAAGGCCTCCTTGGGTTTAGGTGTGGAAGGGACAAAAAGTCGACGAGTTTTATAGTTCCAGATATAATTCAACAAGCCTGCTTGTAGCTTTTTAAATGTTTTTGTTAGCAATTGTTTACTAAGAATGTTTAAAAAAGTTAGAGAAGTTTAGGAAATATATTTATTTTAATGGATGCAGTCTATCCCTGGAGTGACAAGGGCAATGTTTTTCATATGCATAGGGATTGGATAATGTCATTAAGTAAATCCCATCATTTAAGGGAGGTGGTTTTCTATGTGAACGGTAGCAAGATTTTAGATAAAGTATTGCAAACTGTATAAAGATGAATAGCTACTCTTCAAAGTTTGCATCCCCGTTCATTTTGTAAATATGGTTGCAAAAGAGCATGGTCTGGATGTCAAGGGAAGTACTAAATAGACAAGATTTGTTCCAGTACACAACTGTAACAAATTTAGCTCCACACATCTTAAGGCAATCCAAGACAGACAGGGTAATATGGAATAATTTTAAAACCAAGCTAAAAAAAAAAAAAAATAAGACTTACTGTTTCTATTACAAACAAGGACAAGGTTGGGTCCAAAAATCCTAGGCATGAGCTCAGTGAAAAGATGGTAAAACATATTACCATAACTTTGGGGAGCTTCACTAAAGCCCAGAAAGAGTGTTCACTTGGTAAAGAATCTGCAAAAAGATATAAAATATTTTATTATAATGAATCTCAATACACATGACGTTTGTCACTTACTAAAAACAAATGTATGTAGTCTGCTCAGAAATAAGCGTAAACATTGTAAGATAACATTTAGAGAACAGATTTTCTAACTAATAGAATTATTTTCCAGGGAGTGGAAACTCAGAGAATAGCTTAATTCATCAGTATGTCATCACAAGCAAACATGTGCTTTTTATTTCTGTATTCATTGCCCTTAAAATCTGACCCATTCGTTTTTCAAAACACAGTGTATACTTTATGTTTCTAGATGTGATGTTTCCCTGAACCTTTCAGGGGTTTCTCTTCTCCAATTCTTTACAGAATAATTGGAGTTCAATAGCATGTTTATAGATGAACCTGCACTCCATTTTAAACTTTAAAGCCCCACTCCAGTATGGAAAACCCCTACAAGATTCTTCTCTGTCCTTTTCTAATTAAATTTCACTTTGTTATGGATTTTAAATATGCCTGGCTTTGTGGTTAAACTGTACCAACTGCCACTCCACTGTTGGATGTGAGAGGTGGGCCTAGGGAGTGCTGAATCAAAATGCAAGAGGCAACTGCATAAACTGTATTGAAGTGTACAAATGCACTGGTTGGAAGTTCTTGGACATGAAGCGGCCTCTAGGCTGCCAGAACCTGCTCTTACCACTGATAGTTTAATGTTTATTACATTTAATCTATTTAAGTAAAGAAAAAATAAACCACTCAGATCCTTACTAGCAATTTTAAGCCCACAAACCCACTTCTATGATGAAACAATTGATTCACTTGGTTTGTACATCCTGTTTTTTGCTGTACCTTATAGATTCATCTGTTAGTTAACAGGAACCTTACTCATCATTGAGGTAGTTTTATTGTGTAGTCGGATGATCATTGCTAATACCTAAAAGAAAAGTATGGCTAAACCTTTTTTGGTCATACTACTTTTCTGTGTCACAGGTGCAGCCCTACGCCCATAGGAACTGCTATACCGCCCCCTTGGAGGATTCCCAGCAACGTCTTGACATCATTTCCTCCCGGTGGCCATCTTGGATGTGTCTCAAGCTGGCTCCTGTACCCACGCTGATGTGAGAGATCAGCAGTGCCCGCCCTGGATCCCGGTTCTTATCTGCGCCGCGACTCCCGGTTACTGCGCCTGCCATCCTCACTTCCTCCTGTGGGACCCGCCTAGAGCGCCAGCCATGCAACACCTTGGCATTGCAGCCATCCATTTGTGAGGTGCAGCACAGATGACATCCTCCTCCTTATATATTGATGCCTGATATCTACCCACTTCTTGTGAGTTTTTATAATCTTGTGTGCAATAAACTGTTATATTCCTACTGCACTTAGTCTGGCGCACTTCTCTTTTTTCTCTACTTTTCTCTATAATACTGTCTAAGTCTTCCCTCTTTTTTGTCCCACAACTAGGGTTGCCACCTCATTCCTTTAAACCTAAGCGCATATTAATTACACAGGTTCTGTGGCTGATTAAGGTGGTAATTAAACTCACTTAGTGTCTTACCTGCATTAAGTTAGCCCTCAGAACCTGTGTTTTTAATATGTGTTCGGTTTTAACCTGTGTACCCACAACCAGTCACAAGGTTTAAGCCATACACACACATACTTTCGTGTCAGTCGGGGGTTTTGTCTTTGTTAGTTTTACTGTTGGAGAACTTGGAGGAAAAAAGGCAACCCTAGTAGGACAATCCAAGTCAAATAGAAATATTCAAACAGAACACACACATTACACAGCAGCCTTGAGCATTGTCTCCAATGATCAGTCCCAATATCAGTGTCCTTCCCCCAGGGGTTGTTCCAGGAAAGACTTTAGTTAGTTTTACTCTTTCAGGGCTAGAACTTGGGATAGGAAAAAGCTGGTTCTGCATGAGTTACCTATACATCCAATCCTTCCTAGGATGCATAGAAACAGAAGACCAAATAGCAGAACAACACACTGATCAGGCATTACATAACAACTGCAGCTTTTGTTTAAGCAGCAAGCTCAATTCGATTTTCTGAACAGTTCTCCTGTTAAGCAGAGGAACCAACTATAATCTACTTATCCTAGCATCTATCTAGGAGGGTGCCACACAGGAGTGCATTAAATCTAGCAGTCCTGTCCAGAATCAGCTGACAGCAGGCTACAGCCCGCTGTCTGCTGACATCACAAAGCCACTCCAGGCTCTGGGAAGATCCACACCATATTGTCAGAATCCAATAAGCTGCCTGATTGACAGCTGGCTCTGGCTCTCAACACGCTGCTGAGAGCCAGCAGCTCCAGTGAATACTGGAGGCTCAGATTAGAGAGTGGTGACTGACAGTCACTGCTCCGATAAGACCGAGAACTGAGGGATCAGTGGTCGTATGATCACACAGTTCTCTGAGCCGATGTGGGACAGCTGCAGCATACAGGAGAGTATGTATGTTTGGTTTTTTATAAAAAACAAACTTCTCTTTAAACCATGAAATCAAGGAAAGTAAGGCATCATTAACAAAGCTTCAAATTAGACAACAATATAAAATTAAACTTAATTAATACATAAATTGTAAATCTCTATTTTTTAGAGTGAGCATAAACATTTTGGGGTTAACCTAGCTTTAGGCAATAGAATAAGATACTTTTAGGCAAGAGCTCAATGTTTAGGAGGCTAATTTTAACAGCTTAACCACTTGCCCTCCAGAGGATTTACCCCCACCTTCCTGACCAGAGCCATTTTTTGCGATACGGCATTTTTTTTGCATGCGATACGGCGCTGCCTTTTTTGATTTTTGCTATTAAACTGACAATTGCGCGATTATGCATGCTGCTCCCAAATGAAATGTTTGTCCCCACAAATAGGAATTGCTTTCTTTTGGTGGTAATTGATCGCTTGTGAGTTTTTGTTTGTGCTATAAAAACAAAAAAAGACCCTCAATTTAAAAAAAAAAACTAAAAAAAAAAAAACTGGGGACTATATTTTTCCCCCCCCCACTTTTTGCTATTAAACATATCCAGTAAAAAATCACATTTTAAAAATCAAAAAATTCATCATAAAATTTAGGCCAAAATGTATTCTTTGCTAAGAAAAAAACTCCCAATAAAACATGTAAATTAATTAGTTTATGTGAAAGTTATAGCAGCTTACAAATGGCAGTTTTAAACGTATATACACAAGTGGAATTGTTTTTTTTCATGGGCAAGTAATGGCAGCGCACTGCATCAGTGACTTATAGAAGGGTGACTGCGGCGGGCATTTCTGACACTGGGAGGGGAACTGACTTGGTGTCACCTCCCACATCCCCGGTGACCAGTGCTAATAAAAACCACTGACACTACACGACAATATCTCCTGGTACTGAGAGAATATACTAATGGCACAAAACAGCTGGGCAGGAATGGTTTAACATGTGGGGCGATCAAAGGGTTTAAACATATGTGGGGCGGCCCAAAGGTTTAATTTTGTTTCATGTCCACAGAACACTATGGGTGGTGTATGTGTGTTTCACTGCAGTCGACTCTTCTTATTCAAAGCAGTGTGCAGACACGGAGGGCAGTGTGATCTGTATTGTTTTACATGAGGGCTTGCTGTACCCACCCCATCAGAAAATCTTTTCTCAGAGTTCCTCAGCCAGGGACTTCTCCAACTGCTTCAGGTAGCGCACCGAAGTCCGGGACCCAGGTATTGACAGGCGAGGCCGCGAATGCGAATGATGCTTCCTAACGCGTGTCCCTTGGTATGTTTACTTCCGCCCTTCTGCAAAATCACCTCTTCTCTTGTCTTCCTGGACCATTTCTTGCCTTCACCATATATGTAACCACACCAGTAAATATATATCACACACACACGCTTGATGAATTTGTGCACCCATGCCACCCTGTAGCAGTGTTTCTGCTATAGGGCGATGCGGAAGCAGTTAAACACTATAGAACCCTAAACCCCTTTACATCCATACATCGTCCATTTGTGAAGTGGGGTGTTTACTGGGCCATGGGTGCATCTGCAGCCATGAACATGTTATCAATGTTTTCAGCCAGTGAAGCTGAGCAGGTAAATAGCCACTGGATTGCCTTTACAGACAGCGGAAAGGGGTTCCTCCCCTCCAGCCATCTTCCCGGTTTCTTCGTCCCACCAGGGAGCTTAAGACTGCATCCAGCGGTTCCACCAGCTAATCATAGAAATGATCATTTCTATGGTCTAAGAAACCAGAAGACCAGAAGCAAAGAGTATTTTGGCACTTTGTGTTTACTGGATGGCTACTGGCCAGTGAAGCAGCCAATCTGATTAATCTGTGTCTGATTGGCTGCTGTGGAGGCCAGAGGAGAGATCTAAAAGACCCCAGATCTCTCCATAAAGAGGACCTGTCATGGTCCATGAGATCATAAGGGACGTCATTCATCACTTGTGATAGCAATAAAGTTGATAAAAAAAAACACCTGTGAGGTATTGCAGCTAATGTTATAGTGAAAGCAATAATGCTAGCATAAGAACTCCTGTGTAACTCCAAACTGGTAACCTGTATAGGCTTTTAAAATGTCGCCTATGGAGATTTTAAAGTACTGTAGTTTGCTGCCATTCCACAAGCGTGCACAATTTTAAAGGGTGACATTTTAGGTATCAGTTTACTCAGTAACAACATCTTTTATATTGTACGAAAAAGTAAGCATTATATTGTGTGTGTGTGCATTAAAATTCATTAAAGTTTTTTTTTTCCCCAAAAAATTGCATTTGAGAAACCACTGTGCAAATACCATGTGACATAAAAACTTGCAATAACCACCGTTTTATTCTCTAGGGCCTCTGCTTAAAAAAAATTAAAAAAAAATGTGTGTGTAATAAAAAAATGTGATAGATAGATAGATAGATAGATAGATAGATAGATAGATAGAGAGAGAGAATGTTTAGGTTACTTACAAATGTTGATTTTTGCATGTAGGAGAAAAGTGTCAGAACTGGCCCGGTAGGCAAGTGGTTAAGGGTTAGGTTAAAGATGAATGGGAGGGATAGGGGTGTTATACTTACATTACTTTTTAAAGAATTAATTTTTTTAATGCCCAACACTAATCAGCTCTTTCTAACAGTTCTGATGTGAATTGCCCCCTCTCCTCTGCAAAAAAACTCTGTGTTCGAAGGCATGTAATGTGGGATTTGAATGTTACTCAGCTTTGCCAGGACAGAGTGAGAGCAAGAAACAGCATTTCCACTAAGAGAAGGATTTTAAGAAGGATCGCAGCCTGTCATGTAACTGTGCTGAAGACCAGGAATTAAAGCAATAGCGTTCTGCATGAAAAAACTATACTGGCTCAGGCTCAGGCTTCATGAGCTGAGATCTAATAATGTGCCCTGGAAATTCAGGCCTGATAAAAAAAAATAGGAAGCTTCACAGCAAAGTAACAAAACTATCTGTAAACTAGTAGCTGTGGATAACTAAGGATGCAGATATGAATGTACTTTCTAACTTCTGCACAGTTGTGTTTGTTGGATAAAATTAACTGCTCACTGGCTGCTTAGAAACACTCTTTCATTAAGAATTTCTATCAAACCATACATATAAATGTTAATGGTGATCAAATGCCTTTTCTAAGTGGCCGACTGGCACAAGCCCAGGAGAACCGTTTTTGGCCTGTCACAGGGCAAGCTAGTTCTGAAAAAAGTAGAAGAGATCTGCACAACTGCCAAACTATCAAATCAAAATAAAAAATGACAGGAATTCACAATTATCTTGTTCTGACAGAAAAACTAACCACAGAGATGCCAGTGAAATTGCCACAATTTACTAAAGAAATATAAAAGTATTACTTTCAGCTATACAGTATATTGTTACACTGCAACACGACTACTATTGTTACAATAATACCACGACTACTACTAATAATATTATGAGGTTTTTATATTTTCTTTTCTAGGAGTACAGAAAAAAGAATCTTAGTTCTTACTATGTAAACTCAACATTTCATATTCTTGATATGTGCCTGCTGTATCATGGACCTGTATGAAAAAGTATCATGTTCTCTTTGTATTGCTTTGTTTGTGTGAAATCCCTGGTGTTCCTGCCATTCCCTCTGCTTTCCTATTAAACACCAACTACACTAGGCACAAGAGCACAACATGGCAACAGTTCTCTAGCTCCAATAAACAGACTTCTGCTCACATTTTAATGAATAAAAAAAACCACAATATATAACCCAATCATTTTGTAATTATGAAAGATGATGTTATGCAGAGTACATAGATACATGTCACGGTTTAAAATTGTGCACTGTCGTGGAATGGCGACAGACTGCGACACTTCAAAATCTCCATAGGCGACGCTTTAAAAATGTTTACAAGTTACCTGTTTAGAGTTACAGAGGAGGCCTAGTGCTATAATTATTGCTCTCCTTTAAAGTTCATGGCAATACCTCACATGTGTGGTGTGAACACTGTTTACATATGCGTGTGCGACTTAGGAATGTGTTTGCTGCTGCTTTTTTTACACTGTCCCTTTGTTATTTTTTTTTAGCACTTTTATTCCTATTACAAGGAATTTACACATCCCTTGTCATAGAAATAAGGGATGACAGGTCCCCAAATGTCTCATCTACCTTTAACCAATTCAATACCGGGCAATTTTACACCTTCCTGCCCAGTCCATTTTTCAGGTTTCAGCGCTGTCACACTTTTAATGACAATTGCGCGGTCATACAACATTGTACCCAAACTAAAATTTTATCATTTTCTTCACACAACTAGAGCTTTCTTTTGGTGGTATTTAATCATCGCTGGGGTTTTTATTTTTTGCTAAATTAACAAAAAAAGACCAAAAATTTTGAAAAGAAAACACGTTTTTCTTTGTTTCGGTTATAAAAGTTTGCAAATAAATAATTTTTCTTCATAAATTTAGGCCAAGGTGTAGTCTACTACATGTCTTTGGTGAAAATAACCCAAATTAGGATGTATTTTTTAGTTTGTAGGAAAGTTATAGAGTTCACAAACTATGGTATAGATCTGAATATTGATCAGTCCTGAAGTACTGACAGCCAATCTAATTTCTTCAGGTCCAAGAATGTCAGAACATTACAGATATCCCCCAAATGACCCCTTTTTGCAAAGTAGACAGTCTGACGTACTTCATAAGAGGCATGGCGAGTTTTTTGAAGTTGTATTTTTTTTGTCATAATTTTTCGGAAAATGAAAAAATAAAAAAAATAATTTTCACTATTTTGTTTTTACATACTGTCACCAGTGCAGTACAGCGTCATCATATAACTGGCATGGCGGTGATCAGGGACACTGACTTGTGACAGTGTGAAAAAAAAAATATTTTTTTAAAAAAAAATTTAAAAAAAAAAATGTATTTTAAATTTTTTATTACATTTTTTTTTTCTTTTTATAAGATTTTTTTTTCTTATTTCACTATGTCCAAAGTAGTAATGTTACCATAGTAACATTGTACTACTTTGGGGAAGTGATCAGTATTTTTTTTTTTTTTTTACATAATTTGCTTATATGGACAAAAAGTCCCCTATGTGATGATTTTTTGGTGACAGGTTCTAAAAGATCCTGCATGTCTAAAAGAGACCCTGCATGTCTCCCCTGTGCTCCACTGAATGTAACGCAGTGTACATCACACTGCATTACATTCTTTCCCAGCCTCAAAGGCCGGGAATCTGTGAATGGGGACCTGGAAGTAACGTTAAACGTCACTTCTGGGTCAGGACAAGAAGGGGAGGAGAGGGAAGCTGACAGGGGACCGTGGGCTGTGTGGAAGCAATCGAGCGGCAGGGTTAAAGGTAGAAAAAGGCTACCTGCCGACGCCCAGAACTACATGTCAGGTGCGTCGGGCACTACAAATTCAACATCCCTGTACTCACTTGCAATAAAAGAATCAGCCAACATACTTTCTAATGATAAAACTTTAGCAGGGATTTTATACTATTATTTTATTATTATTTAACTGCACATACATCTTAAATGGTAACTCAACTCTCGTTGGAAAATAGCCAAATAAATAAAAATAAATATATATAATACACAATTGCTACACAAGTCTGCGCTAAGATACAAGTCAGATTTTGAGCATCCCCTGCAAAAAAAGTAGTTTTGATGAGATACTCCTAAAAGGAAATCATGTGTAAGGGATGTAGGCTGTGCCACTTCCCTCATTAGAACCGTGTAAGTGCAGCAGTTGATTGATAAATGTGAAATCACTCCCATTCGCATCCACTTTACACATAGACAATGACACACAAACAGCTATTTTTTCAGACTAACAAAAAGTAGGAATCGGCAACAAAGTTTGTTAAAATCCCTGCAATAAATAAACATAAATGTGGTGCGCTAACTCCATCTATCAGATGGAAGAAGCCTGTTAGAGCAAGGGATACGTACACTCCATCCCATTGGGAAGTCTGGAGTCTGATCTCTTAAAGGGCCAACATCAAGGAAATAGCCACAAAAAGTAGTGGATGAGCAAAAGTCGACTATCGCTTCTAAGTGTTTATGACCTAATAGGCACGGTGGAGTATTAAGTATTCCTTTAATGTGAGTGCATATGCTTAGTTTATTTAGAGCGTAGTTCATTATAAACGGTGTTGCACTACAGAATATTTTTTGTTTTTATGCATGGTTCGGAGTCCAGATTTAATGAAGATATATTGTCTGGACGGAGTATCACATAGATCACAATTTGGAGGATACACAGTTCATTTAAAAGTGCATTTGACCTGTTATAATCTGTAGGTCAATTCTTAAGGTAAGCCGGGAGTGGATCCGTAACACAAGCACGTTGTGAAATCTTTTGATGAGATTGCATTACTAGGACTTTTTTGCATGTTGGATTTGACTATTATATTTCCACATTTGATTGATTGAGGATTGCAACATTTATTGTTTGCTCATAATTCGTTATTTAATGAGGAGTTAGCGTACCACATTTATGTTTGTTTATTTACTTTAAGTGAGAGTACACTTGGGGAGTGGGTGCAGCAATTTCTTCCCTTTTCTATTATATTTATGGTGTAGCAGTGCACGCGTTTATATATTTTTAAAATCCTTTGAATGTGCATAAATTACCCAGAGGGGAATGTTTTTTCTCAACAAAAGTGGAGTTACTTCTTTAAACATTGAGAAACAGGACCGCTATGTGAAGTTTCTACAAAGGTTTTTGATTTTGGCATTCGCTCCAGTATTATTAGTAATTAAAGGATAACTGTACTTTTAGACCAGACCAGTTATCAATTTTTTAAACACCCCCAGCCAGCACCTACTCTAATTCATATCAGATCTTTACTTGGTAGCCTTCATTCATTGCTATGAACATTGTTGATGATTGCTAAATAGGAATGAATGGAGATTGTTCAGAAGAAGCAAATCTGCCTGCAGTGCACTGCAGTGTGAACAGTACAAGATGAAGTTCTGGCAGGAGCATGTACAGGCGACTTTGGTGGGTAAGCAGACACAGTTAAAGGATAGCTACAGTTGACAACATAATAAATTAAATCAGACCAGAACACTACAAAACACACATGTATTAACGACTGAAAATCTACATACCATATTTTGGCAAGATGTACATATTTAGTGGCACCATTGAAAAGACAATACAGCCAAGGGCAATGAAGGGAACTTCATATCCAAATGTCTGGTATAGAAATCCTCCTATTGGAGGACCTAAGACAAGTCCAAGACCAGTAAAAATTTCCAGAAATCCCTGAAGATTAAAAACAATAAATAACAGCAACATAAGCTTCATAATGGTTAAAATAGTTTGAAGTGCACCTGTGCCCAAACTATGGACATTAAACTATCAACATATTCTTTACAGACAGTAAGGCTTCCTGCACACTACCACAAGAGGGTTGTGCAGCTATACATTCCGGTTTATTTCCCAGCCTGGGGTCCACAGAAGACGTGTACAGAAAGTAATCAATGGCTGTGAGTGGCTATACACTGCTATTTGTGTAAACACATTCATGCTTATGGATGTACGTACAACTCAGGACACAGACAAGTTGCATCCACAGCCGTACACCCGTACGTATTTATGTATTTATGCAAGTAGTGGCATATACCCATATACACAGACACACAAAAAGCTATTGATTGCTATAGGTGGTTTTGTGTACCAACCCTGGATCCTGGACAGAGAAATATGCCCAGATTTATGGCTGTATTTGTGGCCATGTGCATGTAGCCTAAAAAAGGTTTAAGATAGGCTATCCCTGACCTCTCTAGCTGCTTGTTATGTGAAGTAATATGTTCTTATAAATCCTCAAAGATCACAAAAAAAAACTCTGAAACTCAGGTTTCAGTTGGTTTCTAACAGCTTGGAAACACCAGCTGTGAAGCTTAGAAGGTTGACAGGCTTCCAAGATCTTCTCTGCCTCAAGTGTTAGCTTTGAAAATTAATTTCTCCACAGTGCCTAAAGCTACAGAGAGGAATGAAGGATTCTTCTAAAATACTGTAAGCTTCATTTATGTGGGTACAGTTTCCAATGCATGAGGGAGCCATTAAGATTAATGGCATACCCACACATCCCCTGAGCTGCAGCACGTTTTTCTATGCAGGTAGTTGCAGCTGCGGGAACAAGTGCTGTCCCGCAGTGGCAATTGCCCTCACAGGTGTGAGCCTAGCCTTAGTGTTTTAGATTTCAGCACCATGCGTATCTTGGCTGCTGAATCTACAGTAACTGCAGTTGGTTCAGTGTGCACAGCTTTTTGGATGCCTCTGATGTCAAATATATAGATTGCTTTTGGAAATAAAGTTTGTTGAAGAACAGAAATTATTACAAAAAGAAGTCTGGCTGAATGTGCAGGCATACTAGAAGTTTGAATGTCATAAGTAGCCCCAGGGGAAGCACACTTGCTATCATGAATTCAGTAGGGAGTGTTTTCTTCCCGGGGCAGGAAGACCCTTACCGCTGGGATCAACCAGAGAAAGACTGCATTAGAAAAGCAAGTCCTCCAACATAGGTTGGGGTGGGGTGTTATAAGAATCAGTCACAAACGGGCATCTGTAACAATATCAATTAATAAAGTGCAGCCTTATCATTCAGGAATTACTTGTTTTTGTTTTGTTTTTAACTTGTACATGCACCTATACTGTCCCCCCTGTAAGAACCTCAGGCTGAAAGGCTGTTGGATATCCTGTCTATATATTATATACTATTTTTATTCACTTGGCAAATGACTGCTCCCTTTTTCGCTCCCATGTATATGACGTGACCTTCAAAATAACCATCCTTGTACAAACTAGAAGCTTTTTCCGATGTCATAAGTGTATTATACTGTATATGCCGGATTCATTTCTTTAGAGGAATGACCACTTTCCAATCATCTCAAATGGGGATTACATATGATATCAACTATTTTATAGCCTGCTCTTCTAAATATGAGATATATATGATCCAGTGCCCGTGTGGTAAACAATACTTTGGGATCATTATGCAAACGTTACAAACGCAATTGGGGAACATATTGCAAATATTAAAATAGGCTTTAAAGATCATAATTTGTCGAAGCATTATGCTAAATATCACAATACAAACCCAGCTGAGACTCTCTTTACTGCTTTGGAAAAATATCCACCATATTGGAGAGGTAGCCATTTCAGGAGAGAAATTTCCAAGCTTGAGACAAGCTGGATTTATAATTTTAAATTGTATGTCCCTTTTGGCTTGCATGACGCATGGAATGTTAACAGTTTTATTAGTAACAGTTAGCTCACAGGTTCCTAGAGCTTTTTATTTATTTTTGTATGCTAGTTCGCTGTAGATATTGTGATAGTCTGGAGTTGTGTACATGGTTGTCAGGGATCCGGGTATGACCAGAGATGTGTGGACTGACACAGGGAAATGCAGGCTTCAGGTAAGGTGTAAAACAATTTATTAAAGGCTATACAATACACAAATGCAGTGCAAACAAACCAAACCTAAACTAATATAAATATGTACAACGAAGTGCAAACAAAACCCAAACCTTAACTGATATAAATATGTATGGAGCACAGACGTAGTCAGGCAGGCCGGGTCGGTAGTGAACGGGCAGACAAGGTACAAAGGAGCAGGCAGAAGAGTGGTCAGGAATAGCCGGGGTCGGTACGGGCAGAGTTCAAGCAGTGTCAGAGTCCAGCAGGAGCGTCAGGCAGGCAGGAGGCAGGATACAGGGCGCAAAGGAGCAATACACCAAGGCACTGACTGCAGGCCTGGTCCTGCTTTAATACACCTCCTGCAATCAGCCTCAGGTGGCCAGCACTGGTACTGCAGCCCACAAGGCAGGTAAGCCCCAGCACTACCAGAGATAAGACCATTCCTGACAATGGTGTTCCTGAGGTCTTCTGTTTCTTTTTTAATTAGTTTCTTTTTTATGTGATTTTTATTTCATTTTTCTTTTTTTATATATAATTTTAAATAAATGTAATATATTTAGTGCCATTATTCCTGTCTGTGACTCTTTGAGATGAATAGGAAGATTTGATTTTTGCTTCTTAATAAATGCAAACACCTTTTCATAGATTTGGTGTACCTTATATATTTGGGCGCTAGATGGCATTCGTTCTTAATATGGGTTTACTATGGGCTTCAGTAAAATGTTGTATGTAATCATCCACTTATTCTGTTGGAGCTGTTCCAGTTTCCCTCTCTATATTGGTAAGGGTATTGTGGCCAGTATCAAATGTGGCGCTGTAGGGCTATAATATAATATATATATATATATATATATATATATATATATATATATATAAATATATATATATAAAATCTCCATGTGTGTTGCGCCGTCTTCTAAGCCAGTCCCCCAGATGACGTCATCTCTGACAAAACCCGTAGGGTAAGGCCTATGACGATGACATCAACATGTACAAAACCATTGATTGACGGCTGGGTCCATCAAGAGAAGCCCGTAGGAATGCCATTTATATCCTGTCACACTTGTTAAGCTTGTCACTACTGCTTTCATGTGAGTGCAATTTAGAAGGTTTTCATAAACGTTTGGCGCATACTATTTTATGCTATGAACGTGTGTTTGTTGTTTAATTTTTTTTATTTTTGAGCCACCAGGCAGCTATTTCTTAATTATGCCCTGGTGGAGAAATCATTGATGTGAGAGACAACCTTTTGAGCACAGTTTGACCATCTGTGTTACAGTGGTCCTTTTATCTGGTAAGGAGCTGCTTTTTCTTTTGGCTTGGGCACAACTTTCCCTTTGGATCTGGAGTAAAGACATTAATCGGTTCCTTTCCAACACATGGAGCTTACTTTTGTCTATCAAGACACTCTGTAATCTTGTTTTTTTGACTATCCAGTTACTGTGGTGTTTTTACTTTTATTTATCACTGTTAGAAATTCTGAAGTGTATGGATTACTTTTTCACTTTATCACTTTGTGGTTTTTGCACATGCATGTATGTATTTTTTGGTTTCATATGAATTCCAAATAGTTATTTAACTGATTTATTGCATTTATTTATTGCACCTTCATTTAATGATTTATGAATTTATGATTGTGTTTTTTCACTTTAATGCTTTAGCGTTCCACTTTAATCAAACTAGACCCACAAAGCATTTTAAACTTTATCTTGTTCAGCACCCAGAAAGAAATCCCAAACCAACTACTGAGATGGAACTAGCTGAATATGTAAAATAGTTAAGAAGAGGAACATAGTTTGCATAAGTATTAAATAACATCTTTGGTAACAGAGTACACTGTCTTGCATATAGATGTTTCAGCACCTAGTCTAAGCTCTGAACCAATAAAAAAAATCCAGTTCTAAATACTGAATACATGGTCATGTATTTCAGTATTCATTGTTTCTATTCATTAGCACATATCTGAATCTTGAAAACAGAACCCCAAAAATAGTGAATGGTTACTCATTGATTAGCACCATTGGTTTGGAGCTTTGGGGTTTTGGGCTCAATTCTGGTCAGAGACTATAAAGGCTCATTCACACAATTGTGAAGGGCCATAGTTGCCTACACAGGAAGCAGAGGTGTTCTGCGTGCATCCGCGTGCAGGCAGTCCCATTCATGTGTAATTTGACTGCTGTGTGGGTGCGTGATTTTCCCAAAATGCATACTATCACACATCCGCACAGCTGCCAAATTGGCACCAGCAGCTGCAAATACACATATTTCAATAGACATGTAAGAATTTTTACATTTCTAACAGTCCATTTCATGCTGCATGCTGACAAACTAAAGGGCTTTTGTCTAAAATATTGTGGTTGTGTGTATACCTGTAAATATTTGCATGCAATGTGTAAATTATTCAAAGTGAAGCCCAACAAGGTGGCACTGTATAAGTAACATCATCTTTCTTTAGAATTTACCATTGCAGTAGCTATAGTGTTAGGGAATGCCTTTGCCAAAATAGAACAAGAAGCTGTTATTGAAGCACCAAAACCCACAGCGTCCACTGCTCTGACCAGAAAGCACATAACTGCGAATATTGTTCCATCAGGAATTTTGTCAAGCAATCTAAAATAAGAAAGACAACAATTTACTATCCATGTGACCATGTAACAATTGTCCTAGTGCACCATCAAGCAAAGGTCCCTGTGTAATTTGCTCATACACCAAACTAACTAATCAAGTTCAGAGAGGACATATAATCTGAAATTATCAAATTAAAAACAGCTTTGACATGCACACCTGTTACAATTACCAAAATTTGTTACGTATTGGTAAACTTCTCCTAGTTTTAGGTTAAATACATTTTATTTATTTATTGTATACTATTACTTAATAAGTGATTTAGATGCAGGATAATGTTTGATTTTGATCAGTACCTGTTTTTTAATTTACATTCTGAGTTGTTTTATGTATAGTACCAAGTGCATGCCAAAGCATAAAGTTCATATTACTCATTACATTGAAAAAAAAAAATTAAAAACTTACCCAAAAAGTACTGTAGCAACTCCAGATGTAAACAAACCTGACACAAACATAAATTTTGCTCCAATCTGTACAAGCTGTAAGATTAGAAAACCCTAAATTAGTCAAATTGTATGATATATTGTATCTTTACAAATCTAGGGGTAGAATGCAGTCATTAATGTAACAATAGCTGTGACTGAAGTTGGTTATTGTGTGGGCAAGTGCTAAGTTGCTAACACATCTAACTACTCCTGATACCTTGCGACACGATTTGCATTAATGGACGCAAATTTCACCACAAAGATTAGCATATGATTTGAACAGGAATGTGATTCCTGTTCAAATCGCATACGGTTTCCCCACTGCTCCTGTGTGAACCCAGGCTGCTCATAGCTCGAGGAGCAGTGCGGGTAACCTCCCTGCAGGTATCCAATGCTTAGTGTCAGTGGAAGAGAGGAGAGAAAGCTGCGGGGATTTGAAATTTCTGCCGCTTTCTTTCCGCTTCTTGCAGCGATGACATTAGCTGCTGACCAATCAGATGCTGTCTAGCCCAAACTGTCATCACTGCATCGTCTCCTCTCCAAGGTGCAGGAGGTTTCCTGCACTGCTCCTGTGTGAACTCAGGCTATGATAAGCCTGGGTTCACACAGGAGCAGTGGGGAAACCGCATGAGATTTGGACAGAAATCGTATTCCTGTTCAAATCGCAAGCTATTCCTTGCGGTGCAATTTGCGTCCATTAATGCAAATCGCACTGCAAAGTACTTTGCTGAAAGTATCGGTACTCGACGATAAAAAAATGGTATCAGTGCATCCCTAATGTCGAACTGTCTTTCACTCAACCATTTACTTGAACAAAAAAAAAAAAAAAAAAAACCGATTCCACAGATTCCTGCAGCTACACAAGCAATGTGGATGCAGAGATCTTCCCCAATGCACTATTGTGTTCTGACAGTAGGAGCACTCACCCCCCCCCCCCCCCCCCATCAAATGATGGTTTTCCAGCAGGATTGTTCACACAGAAGCTAGTCTAACAGCTGGCTTCTGTTGAACAGACAGAGTTCTACACAGGACGAAATTTATCTGCTTCCTGTTAAACCAGTCAATTTTCAATACCTGTATACCCAGCTTAAAGCTCATGTGGGCTGGTGGATCTTGACTGTTCCTCGTGACTGTAAGTCCACCAGGTTCTTCTGGGCTATGCTAGGCACTGTAGGTGGAGTCACTCGCTCCCTGCTCATGGAGTACCTTTCTGTGTCACTCTCATCAATGCCCTCGGACAAGGTGGGGACCGCATTCAGGAAAAGTCAACCTTAAGGCGGCCCTAAAACATAAACACTTTGTACATTGAGTGTATGACTGGATTTCAGCTAACATTTTGGTCCCATTTCAATGCACACCTTGACTGTAACTGTTGCATTTAGGAGGGACAGGCTCAGCTCTTGCCCACTCTGCCACCTCATTCCCAGTAACAGAATGGGGCCCCGCCGTGCACATAGCGCAGACCTCATGCATGTACTTTGTTCCTCTTGCTTTCCCATACTTGGTGGCTCGGCCAAGGGCCTCCATGACACTGATCTTCTCCAGATACTATGGGAAACAAACCGCTGGGGAGGGAGTCCAAGGCAGTGATCCTCTCGCTGCCGTAGGATACTTCACACCTGACACAGGCTGCTTGTACTGGTCACTCATCCCTGGTTACCCTTGGCAACTACCTGCTTCTCCATACTATGTTAAATCCTGAAGAGACTAATTTCATACTCCAATGTGCTATAACTGATCCGTGCTTCAGATATCTGCAGATGTGTAGTGTGCTTGTTACTTTCATATAGACCCTTAGAAAAACTTCAGACCAAGCAGGACAACGCATTCAAGGCTTTACTGATAAAACTTCAGCATAACAGTTTAAATTGGCAAGTGTTTCTCTAACTAACCCTAACTATGGCTGCCCCAATATACCTGCTTTGGTAAGGTCCAATAGTGGTAAATCCAGACCATGACAATAATGTCCCAATAAGTCAGTGTTCTTCAGAGCACACTGCAACTACCAGCAGACCTTCTACATGATGCGGTTCCCCAAACAGAGTTCAGGGGAAGACTCAGCCTTAGCTCAGCAGCTCCCCGTGATCTGGTCAAATATCTGATTTATAATCACCCAGGACAGGTGGGTCAGACCTAGAAAAGCTTGCAAACAAACCCGATGAAGGCAGTATAAATATTAACCCCTTCCCCCCTGCCTATACAAGAAAATGCCTACATGAAGAATAATGGGCAGGGAAATATCTGCCTGTCCTCCAAAGAGCTGCAATATTTCCTCAATTCTGGCACAACTGCAGTACTTTGATCCTTAGCTCTTCTCCATATCAGTGAATTTTACAACAGCTTGGACAATCTTCCTGTGCCACATAAAGTTCTCCCATCTGCCAGAAGAGCTTTTACCACACTCTAAAATATTAGAAACAGCAGGCTATCTCTAGTGATGCTTTAGATTAGGACCAACGCTTTTGTTTTTCGGTATGCTTTGGTAAGATTTATTTTATAAACCTGCTGATCTTTAATTTTATGCAGTGCACTAAGTCTTCTAATGGTACAAACTGGATGGCATAATTTGAATTTGCTATATTATAACAATCACGATATAATAAACATTTATTATGGGAATGCAACTTTTCTATTTTCCATTTCTATAACCAGTACAGTGATGGGTTTCTAAAATGTGCTCATATAACAGTGTTGCAGAATACTATAGTTATAGGTAATTTATTATAGTTATATAATATTAATGTCAATAAAGTAAAACTCCATTTTAAAATACAAAATGGTCAAGCTTTACTTACTCTACATGCTCCAATGCTGTTCCCAACTTCCTCCTTGATTCAGTGTCATTCTGCCCCTTTACTGTGAGTCCAACCTGATGTTGACAAAACCCAAGGGTTTGTACTCCACTCACAGTACTGAAATAACTCCAGGACTGAGCAGCACCTACTTAAAGCGAAGTTCCAGTGAAAATAAAAAAAAAAAGTCAGCAGCACAAAAACTGTAGCTGCTGACTTTTAAAAAAGGAACACTTAACTGTCCCTCGATCCCGCAGTGTCCCCCCCCCCCCGCAGTCTGTTTCACTGGCTGCGTGTTCCCGGCATCTTCAGTGTGAGCACCCCACTCTGACAGCTTGCGGCTTCACAGCCAGGTGCTCACTGCGCATGAGCGAATAGCGCTGCACTTTGTGAATGGTCCCATAGTCTTCTGGGACCTGTCACATGTCTCAGAAGACTATGGGGAGGGAGAGGGGGGAGGACAACTTCCACTTCCGATCGCCTAGGCAATCGCAGTGGAAGTGGGAGCGGGTACCTGTCAATTTTGGGTACCCGCTTCCCCTCCCTTGCTCCCCAAAGGTGTCAATCATTAACGGGGAGTGGGGGACCAATCCTTAAAGTGGAACTTCACCTTTTGGGTGGAGCTGCGCTTTAATGTGGAGAAATGCTTTCTTCCCATCACCAGCAAAAGGGGGGTGGAAGGACCTGTGACATCAAGAGACCAACTAGAGCAGCGTTTTTTTTCAACCACTGTGCCGCGGCACACTAGTGTGCCGTGAGATATTGTCTGGTGTGCCGTGGGAAAAATTCCAATTTCATCTGTAACATGTGGCTTCGGCTCACAAATAGACCAATCATTAGAATCTAATGATTCAGTGGTCGGCAAGCCGCGGCTCGCGAGCCACATGCGGCTCTTTACCCAGTCTAATGCGGCTCTTCTGTGTGCCGGGCGCCTGCTCCCCTCCCTCCTCTCGGTCGGCCGCTCCCCTGCCTCCTCTCGGTTGGCAGCCCCAAAAGTCCGCGCGGACCTTTTAATCCGGCTTGCGGATGTGGCTGTCAGGATGTGTGTAGGCGGGGCAGCGTGCCGAACGTGAGGGGAGGGGAGCTAGGCTCCTCTCACAGTCCGCCCTGAAGACCCGAACGGCGCGGGAAGACAGCGAGAGGAACGCAAAAGGTAAGTGAATTGACACGGGGGACTTGGCTTACTAGAAGGGGGGGGGGGGAATAGTACTGTGGGGGATGAAATACTATATGAGGGATGAATTACTTTATGAGGGATGAAATACTATATGGGGGGATGAAATACTATATGGGGGATGAATTACTATATCAGGGATGAATTACTATATGAGGGATGAAATACTATATGGGGGGATGAAATACTATATGGGGGGATGAAATACTATATGGGGGGATGAATTACTATATGAGGGATGAAATACTATATGGGGGGATGAAATACTATATGAGGGATGAAATACTATATGGGGGATGAATTACTATATGAGGGATGAATTACTGTATGAGGGATGAAATACTATATGGGGGGATGAAATACTATATGAGGGATGAAATACTATATGAGGGGATGAAATACTATATGGGGGGATGAAATACTATATGGGGGATGAAATACTATATGAGGGATGAAATACTATATGAGGGATGAAAATACTATATGAGGGATGAAATACTATATGAGGGATGAATTACTATATGAGGGATGAAATACTATATGGGGGGATGAAATACTATATGGGGGGATGAAATACTATATGGGGGGATGAAATACTATATGAGGGATGAATTACTATGGGGGATGAATTACTATATGGAGGATGAATTACTATATGGGGGATTAATTACTATGCTTACTATGGGGGAATATTACTATACTTACTATGGATGACACATACACATCATTCATCTACTCTTGGTCCGGCCCGGGTCCAATTATAAAATACTTTATTATTTCATAATAAAGTAATTATAAAATAATTTCTTTGTGTTTGATTCCTATTCAAGAGAATTACTTTATATATAGTCAATATAGGCACAGAGGTAAATTTTTTTAACATTTTCTAATGGTGGTGTGCCTCGTGATTTTTTTCATGAAAAAAGTGTGCCTTTGCACAAAAAAGGTTGAAAAACACTGAACTAGAGGACTGCAAGGAAATGGCAAAAATGTAAAGCTTTTATTAAAGCCCTTGGGGGAGGAAGGGTGCAGGATAGGCAACCAAAGCTTACGATCTGCTTTAATCTAATACTCTATATACTATGCAAACAATAGACACCTAATTTTGATATATAATACCTTAAGAAACAGCTAGTTGCAGTAGTAACTGGAAACATGTCAAAATTTCTAAAACTAGAAAATTGGACTTGGACTGAAGGAACAAACAAAGGTCCTTCACTGAAACAGTGTGCAACATGGTAGAGCATTTTCCCAACATAGGATACACATAGGATGTGTCATATCCCAAGATAAAAGGGGATTATTCCTCTTCTGGGGACAGTAGCTGATCATTCTTTTATACCCCTAGACTAGGGGTGTCAAATTCAGTTTCATTGTTGGCTGCATCAGCATTATGTCTGCTGAGACAAGATGGGGGCAGAGACAAGGGGGGGGGGGGGCTGCTGCAACTGCAGAAAGGTTGCAAGGGCCACATGAAATGGCCTGGTGGACTGGAGTTGGCCCATGGGCCTAGTATTTGACACATGTGCCCTAGACCAACTACACACCCAGACCCATTAATATTTTGGAGCTATTTATTCCAAACTGCATGCAGCTGTTTCAGGCTTGTTGGCCATCAGTGTAGTGTATAGAACACATGGCTTTTTTGGTTCCTTTAGTCCCTCCACACCAAAACCTTCTGGGTTATACTTCACATTGGTCCCCAAGACCTACTTCATAGAAGCTTTTTTTTCTGCTGTATATCAATAGTTTTTCTGTATGTGCAGGTGACCAAGGGTATGGCTCCACTATCCTGTAAAGAGGAATAATTCTCTAATTTTTGAGATATGTGAAGTAATGAGCCATGATCCTTCTAAGCTTGCCTTCACATGTAATATCTATACAGAGTGCAAATTGTCAGCATTTTTCAGAGGCAATTGATGCCAAGTGCTAAGTCAGTACAGCAATATGGATTGAGAAAGGTATACACACAGCTGTACATTGTTAAGGAAGATGAAGAATGATCTGGTTGTCATACACCTAAAAAGAGTATCAATGTTATTCTGCTCTTTTACAACAAGCTTGTCAAATTTCTACATGAGATTATAGCCAGCAGCTATAGCTGCTAGACAAGAACAACTGTGTTCTCCTAGCAGGGCCAGCTCTGTGCGTCCCCAGGCTGGAGGAACACAATAGCTTTATGGGAGGGATTCCTCCATCAACACTTGAGCAGGAAAGAAAATCACATAATCTATGGCCTGCCCTAAATAAATTCACCTTTTGGAACATATTACATCTGTATTTAGGATGGACATGTAACATGTTCCAGAAGCTACAACCTCTTCCCCTCTCCCTGTGACAATGAGCAGGGGGATTTTTTACCAGCACCCATTGTCATAATTTGAAAAATAATGTGTCTGTGCAGAGCTATAACCAAACGGTTGCGTAGTTCGTTCACAGTTCCCTTTGAATGCACAAACTACAACTACTGTCACTTTGTGGCTCATAGCTTGTAGTACTGAATGGATTGCATGGTCGCTGATAAGAGAACTCGTAGTTCATTCACAAGCCCTGCAGCTTGTAAACAGTCAGCCCCTGTGAAGGTATGGGCTAAAAGCTGCAGGGTTTGTCTACAAGAGTCTGACATTGCAACCATGGATTACTGAATACGAGTGCAATGCTTTCCAGGCTCCTTAGGGAAAAAATAATAAATGCACTTTTTTTTCCTATAAAAATATGTGCAGTTATTATTTTATCCCAAAAGGTAAACTTATCATTTGATGCTTTGGTCAATACACTATTTGTCTTCTGAGATAAAAGCACCACCAGGGATATTTAATGTGTGTCTTGTCATGTACATTGCAAAATACAACTACCATCTATGGTCTATATCCTGCAACCACTTACGGTATGTTATGTTCAGAAATTAGGCTTTGTTATGTTATGTTCAGGCAGTTCATTTTGGAACAATAGTTATCTGGCTGAACAATTGGGTTTTTTTTTTTCAAATGAGAGCTGAAGATTATTACATCTCTAAAATAATGATCGTTATGGCAAATAACACAAATGTTTGTAAAAACAACTGTTATGTAAATATCTGTATAAAAGCACGGTACACATTTTACAAGGAATATAGTCATACTTACATATCTTCCAAATATTAATGAGCTTAAAAAATTAAACACAGCAAAACATCCAAATATTAAGCCAATCACTGTGTTACTAAGCCCCTTCTTCACAGCCTATTCAAAAAAAAAAGAAAAAAGAAAAATTATGTCATTTAAATATAGACCTTTTTACATATTTAGTGATTTTTTTTTTATTTTAAAAACTTGTGCGCCCCTCCCCTTTTTAAGAAAAATCTGGTAATGTAAAGCTGGGCATACACATGAACAATTGTATGAGCATGACTGATCCAACCATTTTACAAGGTTTGACAGACCTCATAGGTGATCCAATAGCTGTCTGATGGAAGGCACACAAGGTAGACTGACAACACTGGTGCTAATTGAGAGGCAGTGGCCAAGAGTTGCCAGACTGCAACAAAAAGTGGTGTTACTAACAAAATTTCCAAGTAGAACATTTTGCAACAGTTTCCGAAAATGCAGTTTGCTGAGAAAACTGTAGGCATGATGCCAAACAAACTGAAACATACGTAGATTTAGGATTTACATACAGTGGGTCAAAAAAGTATGTCGTCAGCCACCAATTGTGCAAGTTCTCCCACTTAAAAAGATGAGAGAGGCCTGTAATTGGCATCATAGGTAGACCTCAACTATAAGAGACAAAATGAGAAAAAAAATCCAGACAATCACATTGGCTGATTTGGAAAGAATTTATTTGCAAATTATGGTGGAAAATAACTATTTGGTCAATATCAAAAGTTCATCTCAATACTTTGTTATATATCCTTTGTTGGCAATGACAGAGGCCAAACGTTTCCTGTAAGTCTTCACAAGGTTGACACACACTGTTGCTGGTATGTTGGCCCATTCCTCCATGCAGATCTCCTCTAGAGCAGTGATGTTTTGGGGCTGTCGCTGGGCAACACGGACTTTCAACTCCCTCCAAAGGTTTTCTATGGGGTTGAGATCTGGAGACTGGCTAGGCCACTCCAGGACCTTGAAATGCTTCTTACGAAGCCACTCCTTCATTGCCCGGGCGGTATGTTTGGGATCATTGTCATGTTGGAAGACCCAGCCACGTTTCATCTTCAATGCCCTTGCTGATGGAAGGAGGTTTGCACTCAAAATCTCACGATACATGGCCCCGTTCATTCTGTCCTGTACATGGATCAGTCGTCCTGGCCCCTTTGCGGAGAAACAGCCCCAAAGCATGATGTTGCCACCCCCACGCTTCACAGTAGGTATGGTGTTCTTTGAATGCAACTCAGCATTCTCTCTCCTCCAAACACGACGAGTTGTGTTTCTACCAAACAGTTCTATTTTGGTTTCATCTGACCATATGACATTCTCCCAATCCTCTTCTGGATCATCCAAATGCTCTCTAGCAAACTTCAGACGGGCCCGGACATGTACTGGCTTAAGCAGGGGGAAACGTCTGGCACTGCAGGATCTGAGTCCCTGGCGGCGTAGTGTGTTACTGATGGTAGCCTTTGTTAGGTTGGTCCCAGCTCTCTGCAGGTCATTCACTAGGTCCCCCCATGTGGTCCTGGGATTTTTGCTCACCGTTCTTGTGATCATTTTGACCCCACGGGGTGAGATCTTGCGTGGAGCCCCAGATTGAGGGAGATTATCAGTGGTCTTGTATGTCTTCCATTTTCTAATTATTGCTCTCACAGCTGATTTGTTCACACCAAGCTGCTTGCCTATTGCAGATTCAGTCTTCCCAGCCTGGTGCAGGTCCCCAATTTTGTTTCTGGTGTCCTTCGACAGCTCTTTTGTCTTCACCATAGTGGAGTTTGGAGTGTGACTGTTTGAGGTTGTGGACAGGTGTCTTTTATACTGATAACAAGTTCAAACAGGTGCCATTGATACAGGTAATGAGTGCAGGACAGAGGAGCCTCTTAAAGAAGAAGGTACAGGTCTGTGAGAGCCAGAAATCTTGCTTGTTTTAGGTGACCAAATACTTATTTTCCACCATAATTTGCAAATAAATTCTTTCCAAATCAGCCAATGTGATTGTCTGGATTTGTTTTCTCATTTTGTCTCTCATAGTTGAGGTCTACCTATGATGCCAATTACAGGCCTCTCTCATCTTTTTAAGTGGGAGAACTTGCACAATTGGTGGCTGACTAAATACTTTTTTGCCCCACTGTAGACTTTGGCAGAAAAGAGTGGCACAGATGGTTTCCATTACCCTCTTTGCTCGGCAATCTCACAAAGCTTTTTTTATAACCTGTCAATCGCTCTGTTCCCTGAGAACAATATTAATGACTATTGGAGGCTGCCACAAAAACTTTATTCATATATTGGAAGACCCATCCTCCAATTTCTGTGGATACCTTTATACACATATTTATAAAATGTAGCATGCCAAAAACTATCTATAATTGAAATCCTGTGCTATGAAGTGTAGGCTATTGTGTTCTACTGTAATCTAGCTTTTGCAGTCAAGGCTGGTATTGATGCCCATATCAATGGTACTGACACCAGGGGGGAGATTTACCAAAACTGGTGCACAAAGAATTTTGTGCAGCTGTGCATAGTAACCAATCAGCTTCTAACTCCATCTTGTTCAATTAAGCTTCAACAATAAAACCTAGAAGCTGATTGGTTTCTATGCAGAGTGGCACCAGATTCTGTGTGCACCAGTTTTAGTACATATTCCCCCAGGTGTCTGTTATGTAATGCCCAAAATCACTACTTTATATTTCTGAGGCCCTCAGAGTTTTCATATACAGAACTTGCTAATTCAAGACAAGTTATTTATTTTACACATACAAAAAACTAATATGCTTCATGTATTATAAGTCAGCTCAAATAACTTCATATTCTCAAACAAACTCAGATACCTTTATAAAGATAGGTTAACACCAAGGTGGATAAATACTAGGCAGAAATACTCCACATTCCAGGACAAAACACTGTTCTAATCATCCTACATAGCAGGCCACATGCATGAAGCTCGAGGCACTTGGTCACATGATTTCTGCAGAAGGGAAAGATCAGACCTTTTGAGCTCTGATCCTTCTCATTTTTTCCTTTTACTTTACAAGATCTTAAAAGAAGAATTCCAGGCATGGATACTTTTACATGATCGAGGTGGAGAGTTGGGACAGTGATGTCACACTATCCACCTCAGTCAATCAGAGCATGATTTGCATTCATTGAGAAATGTAAAGTTTTCTGGATGGAGCCCATGCCGAGCAGGAGACCTGTGTTCACAATGCAGTGGGGGCAGCCGCTGGGGACTCAGAAGCTAGTGGAGGAGATCACTGTAGTAGCTATGTCTACTACAGTGGTTTCCAGCTTCTAGAGGAATCACACAGGTATGGTATATGCATAAATACAATGGTCCAAGCTGGACTAATGTATCTATGTAAAAATATCCCTACCTTTAACAATCCTTTATTCTTTGATTCTTCTTCAAGCATGCTGACATAGTTTGAAATCATCAAGTGAGCATTTCTACAAGAAAGTCCATCACAAATTATTTATGTGTTATGATTCAGGGTCATTATTGGAATGGATGACTTTTGTGTATGATAAAGTAAGAAACCTAAAGATTAGTGCAAACAATTCTATTTTACACCTTCCGAAACCCTTAGGGTTCATGTACACTGCAGCTGCTAAACTGACATTCTGGAGCTGTTCAGCATTTTTTTCAGCAGCCCCTGAACTCTCCCTAATGTTTTCCTATGTGTCCATGTACACATAGTCGTTTACAGTCGTTTACAGGCAGTTGAGTTTACAGTCTTTTTTTTGAACACACCAAACTTGCATTCAGGAGTAGATTTTACCGGCGTTTCAAATGCCGAATGCTTGTAAGCGCAGTTAACCGCGTTTAAAAGCGTTTGCAAGCGTTTTTTAACTGTTCCATATCCAGATGTTGTCCAGAGCCTTTTTTCATCATCAGAAATTAATGCAAATGTTTTCCATGTATTCAAATGGACCTAGTACACCAGCGCAGTCAGTTCCAGGTTTCGCGTGAAGGAAAAAGTGTTAGAACGTGCTGCATTATGCTCATGATGGGATCCATAGTGAATACAACAAGAAAAGACAGGTCATCTCAACACATACTACTCTCTCTGCTTCTGTTCTCTCTATTTCTCTTTAAATGTCTGAAATAGTTAATCATTTACTATTTTTCAGTGCATTCTTGGCATTTTGGAAGGTCTCCTGAGGTTATCTTTTAAAAATGCTTCTAAACGCAGTATGCAAACGCAGCTAAACTGACATTTTTTAACCTTTGTTTTCCAGCAGTCAGTTTCCATCATTCAGAAGAGTTTTCCAAATGCCCCATGTACATGAGCCCTTAAATCTCACAGCCACAGAAGTATGACTCCACATCAAAGGGTGATGTTAAGTTAGGCCAGCCATACACGGATTAAAATTCATCTGGTTCAACAGGGACTGGCTGAATTTTGATCCATGTATGGGCAGGGAGGCTGTACAGAATTCAATCTACCAGGTGACTTTTGTACAACTACCCTGCCATTTTCCCCACTCAATCAGTGCTGCAGGCTACAGCATGCAATGCTGATCAGTGTATTCTGATGGTGGGGAAGTCTCCCCACTGTCAGAATACAAAGCAACAGAAAGGAGGATTCCCCCAACCCACCTTGAACGTGTGGATGGGGGAATTGGGTGAGTTTTTTTTTTCATTCAACCCGCTGGTAAAAAGAATAAAACTGTATCATCTATGAGCTGCCTTAGGGACCATACTTTGCAAAGGAGCCTTGGTGTTCCAATGTGGCTTGACATGTATGCAACAAAAACCTCTATTTTAATGCAGATTGTGAGATCAGTTTCAACTTTATATTTGAGCTTAGTGCATGGGAAGTGTGCTGAGTAACTTTCAGTATTGTGCAGTTATGTGGTTCAGCTTGAGTCTACCAGTAAATGGCTTTATCTGTATACAGCTACTGCCCAATGTGTTCTACCACAGAAGCCGCATTTGCACAGTAGCAGCTAAAGTAAGTTTAAACCTGCTGAGTACAGGCAAGTACTACACAGTTCCTGGTGGTGGTTTAGATTTAACAACAGCAAGGAGTATGAAACAAATTAGATTTCAAAAAGGCTTTGGGTCTGCTTTAGGAGCCATCATTTATTAAAATGTTAAACTAAAGTATATCAAAGGCTAGTAAGTAATAAGAAAAGGTTAATGCCCAAGCTTTTTATTTTTTCTTGTTGTGTCCTGTTGGGGAAACTCCCAGGGACAACAAGAAGTGAGAGTAAATCTGATCCATTGATGGATCAGAATTCAGCATGTTCAGCATGGACCTGACAAATTTTGATCTGTGTGTGGCTGTCCTCGTTCAACAGACTTTTATCAACTTCTGTCGAACGTGACAAACTGGAAAAATCTTGTCAATCAGCAGCTGTAGCCACCAATCAGTGTATTCTGACAGCAAAAAGTCCCGCTGTCAAGATACAATGTCCCGTTGGGAGGATATCTCCATGTACCTCACTTGGTGGAGGAATCTGTTCATTTTTGGTCTGAACAAGAAAAAAACATCTATGGCCAGTTTTAGACAGTTGCCACCAGAACAAATACCCTCATATTAAGTGTCCCTCTCACCATTTCAGCTCACTTTTTGGCCAAATGAGAATGGCCACAGTGACGAACAGAGATGGTAAATCTCCCCCAGCTGGGACAAAAACAGCAATTAAAACCAGACAGAGATTATATTTTTCCAAAATTTAAAAAATGTTTTGGATTTAGAAGGGCACAGTTGCATTGAACCAAAAACAGCTTCCCATTCATTGGAAACTTTAGTATGACACATATTACAGAATAAACATGAACAGACAGTTGAGGCTGAGTATACCTGGCACACATTAATCAACCACAGTTTTGCTTGTTCATTTTAACTGGCATTCCCAAATAAACAAAAAAAAAGAAACAAACAACTTGATGTAATACTGTTATGAATGGGTTAAGGACCAGGTCCAACTTTAAAAACATTATCTGTTCGTTTTTGATTTTACCTCTTGAGGAAAAAAAGGTCCCAAAATGGAATAACAGATCATAGAACTGAAGTTAAGCGAAGCAGTAGAAATAAGTGTCAAAATCTGATTCTTTGATAGCTTCCTGACCGTGTTAGAATTATCGGGTGTGCTCTCAGTAGGATCAGCCATCTTGATTATCTGAAAAGAAAAACACAGACCTGGATTTTAGAGTTTGAGAAATGCAAAGAATGCAATGCTTGTGTTATTTTCCTTGTTGTAAGTGTAAACAGTTTAAACCATTAATCGGGCACTGCAGTAGTGTAGCAAGACAGGAGAATATGTCTCACGGAGAACAAAAGTTCAGGAGACATTTACCTGTCTATGTGTCTCAAGACTGCTGAGACTGGACATGGCCCTCCCTCAACAGTGACAGCAACACAGAGGGGGGTTATTTACTAAAGGCAAATAGGCTGTGCACTGCAAGTGCACAGAAAGTGCAGTTGCTCTAAATCTTAGGGGAACATGCAAGGAAAATAAAAACAGCATTTTTGTTTGCACATAATTGGAAGAATGAAATCAACAGAGCTTTGCCTCATTTCCGAGCTTCCCCTCGGATATAAAGCAACTGCACTTGAAGTGAACTTGCAGTGCACAGCCTATTTGTCTTTAGTAAATCAATCCCAGAGTATTAGGAGCCTTCCTGTGCCCCAAGACAGAGGGAGCAATCAGGACACACACAAAACGTTTTGAAGTCCAGAAATAGCCTAGCCACAATAAGTGATGTTCAAAATTGGGACCAACACTTGTATATATCACATTATCTATAAAAAGTAAGAAAAAGCAAAAGATTATGCAAACTTATTGCAACAGTCATGTCATATTGCATGATAACTGCATTGTGAAGAAGATGATGATATAACAATTATAAGGGATGCCATACTTGCATCTCCTGCTACATGTCTTTTGGAAGCTGTCCTAAAACCTCAACTAGCACATGCCTAGAATAGAGAAGCAATATGGGTATGGGGCTGTGGGACACAGTCTACACAAGTATGGCATCCAGTACTATACAAGAAAAGATTTTACAGGGCTACCTTACAGGAAGTGTATGAGAAGCTTCCTGGGCTATACAACACCTGAGATCAAACATCAGCTGGGCAGACATTGGGGTGTACTTATTGAAACTGGAAAGCGCAAAATGTGGTGCAGCTCTGCATAGAAACCAATCAGCTTCCAGGTTTTATTGTCAAAGATTAAATTGAATAAGCTGAACCAGTTGTACCAGATTTTGCACTCTCCAGTCTTAGTAAATCAACCTTACTGTGTTGCTGCAGACCCTTCCTTATCCTTAATTCTTGCCACTTGGGGATCTCACTTCCAGTAGTTAGTTTTCCTCCTCCTTCCTATTAGATTCCGCACCTTCAAGTCAAATGAACTCTAACAAAATTACTGTACAACCTTCTGATTAGTTACTCCCTTCAATCCACTGCTGTCTCAGGTGTCTGCTCTCCTTCCATTGCCCCTCCCTGGCCTATACAACATACCAGATCCCAAACACTTACTTACAGATCTTACTTAAAGTGGAGTTCCACTCGACCTGTCAAAAAATAAAAGTCAGCGGCAACAAAAACTGTAGTTGCTGACTTTTAAAAAACAGCCACTTACCTGTCCCGTAGTGTGTCCCCCGCAGCCCTTTTCACCGACCTTTCTGGATTCCAGGAGGCCGGCATCTTCAGTGTGGGCACCCGGATGTGACAGCTTGCGGATTCACAGCCGAGTACCCACTGCGCATGCAAGAGAAGCGCTGCGCTTCATGAATGGTCCTGTAGTCTTCTGGGACCTGTCACATGTCCCAAAAGACTACAGGAAGGGAGGGAGGGAGGACACCTGTTTCCGATCACCTAGGCGATCGGACCGGAAATGGGAGCGGGTACCTGTCAAATTCGGGTACCCGCTTCCCCCGCCCCCCAAAGGTGCCAATCATTAATGGGGAGTGGGGGAGCAGTCCTTAAAGCGGAACTCCCCTTTTGGGTGGAGCTCCCGTTTAAGTGCCTGCTGTTCTTCCCCCTCTCACCACCTTGCCAACACCACTCCTTTCCTAGCCAAAGCACCCCATTCAGACCCATGTCCTCCTGGCCAATGCACCTTCTTTCACTGCACCCCTCTCAGTAAAATTGCTCCACTATTTTATACATTGTTCCAGATACTGATAAGTGGATAGAACAGAAAACCGTGCACCGTGCACATTACAACAAAAGGGAATATGCAATGCAGCCTATATATGGCTCCCATGCAGGTAACACAGGCAGCTCTTGCTGCTCTTACATTTTCACTTTAAAACCATTGGCTGCTTCTGTGCTTGTTATCATCGGAGTGAGGAGGACCTAACAACAGCAGACAAGTGGCCAGCTGACAGCTTCCACTCCAGTAAAGAGAAATCTCCCAAATGAGACACAGATGGCAAATAAAAATAAAAAATAAACAAACAGCTCACTATGATATTAACACTTCCCTTCTCTATCCAAAATAGAGAAGGTAATGTACTTGCAAACTGACATTTAATTAAAAAAAAAGTGAAATTGTTTATGGACCACCTGTGATTTTTCTACCATCACTCGGCTATGTTTCTAGGGCCATTAATATTATTCATTTCTTTCTATAATTCTTGCTGAAAATAATGTCATGTAGAATGTTGTAATGTGATCTTCTGGGTGTTAAATTCTCTAGGTACAGCATGTTCTTTATTATTTTCTTTATTCCTGTATCTACAATCTATTGATCTCACCAATACACCATGAATTGTAGATATAAAAACCCTGCCATTTACCTCATTAGAGCCCTGCAAGTGCAGCAGCTGATTGTTAATTACAAAGTCACTTTAATTCCCATCCACTTTGCACATGGACACAGACAAAAAAGCAGCTATTTCTTAGAATAATAAAAGGTAGGAAACTAAAACAAAAATTGGTAAAATTCCTTCAATGTATATAGTATATAGATCACCCAGAGGGGAATGCGTTTTTCTCTCAACAAAAGTAGAGTTGCTCTGTAACCGCTTCCCGACCCCCCTACAGCAGAAATACTGCTACAGGGTGGCACGGGTGCACAAAATCACGTATATATACACATGATTTTTCATCATTTCCAGGTAGGAAATACCCACACCGCCATTCACGTCCGTCAATCACCAGGTCTGTCGCAGGCGCTCGGTGATTTCCGAGGATCTCTGACGGGAGGAAAACTGTTTTGTTTACTAACAGTTCTCCTCCCTGTCAGCTCGAGGACACTGCTTTGGATGGCTGTGCACAGCACAGCCATCCAAAGCAGTGTGATTACAGTGAAGCACACTGACACCGCCCCCTAGTAAACACTCTCTGCACACAGTAAACCATTTGATTGCCCCTCATGTTAACCACTTCCTGCCCAGTGTCATTAGTACAGTGTCAGTGCTTTTTTTTAGCACTGATCACTGTATTGGTATCACTGGGGATGTCAGTGACACCAAGTCAGTTCCCCCCAGTGTCAGAATGTCCGCCACAGTCCCGCTATAAATCGCTGATCGCCGCCATTACTAGTAAAAAAAAATTTAAAATCCCAATATATATACTGTACCACCATTTGTAAATGCTATAACTTTCACGTAAACCAATTAATTTACATGTATTGGGATTTTTTTTTTTGGCAAGGACATGTAGCAGAGTACATTGACATAAAGTTATGACGAAATTATATTTGTTTTAATTTTTTTACTGGAAATGTTTCATAGCAAAAAGTCAAAAATATTGTTTTTTTTCTCAAAATTGTCAGTCTTATTTTTTTTTTTTCTATAGCGCAAAAAAAATAAAAAAACGCACAGGCAATCAAATACCATGAAAAGAAAGCTCAATTTGCGGGGAAAAAAAGGATGTAAATTTAATTTGGGTGCAGCATTGCATGACCACACAATTGTCAGTCAAAGTAATGCAGCGCCATAATGCAAAAAATGGTCTGGTCAGGAAAGGGGGTAAATCCTCAGGGGGGTAAGTGGTTAAGGGACAGTGTTATTGGGCTTTTGTTCACTTTAGAGCCGCTTCTTTACCCAGGTACATGCAAATCCAAACGCAACTGAAGAGGATCAAATGAGGTCAACTACGCCTGCAATGATCTCAAAAGGATAAGAAGGCTTTACAGCCCACCTCACATCCTTGCAGCCCATCTCACGCTCTTCCTTTTCTACAAGTTCATTACAGACCACAAATCAACAGGCGACGTGCACTGGGAGCCATGACATATGCCAGGTGGCACCCTCGCTTACCTCCAAACCAGCAGGCTATAAAGTATTGCACATTTGAAGGTGTCTCTAAGCAGGCTTGCAAGTAGAGAGCTTCTCTCTATGTACTATAGGGGAGTGTGTATTTTGTCACCATGCTCAGATGCAGGCCCTCTTAACTCCCTTCCTAGACATGACCATGGAAGCCAAATTTCTCTTCGTCCATCTCTCAGCAACTCAAAGAGGCCACAGTTGATGAAGCAGATGGAGCTGGGCTAGTGATCTGCAGCATGGTAAGCCACCCTCCACTGTCAGAACTGGTATGTGGCAGCCAAAGCCTAATAGATCCCAGTTTAGCAAGAAGTTCCAGCACCTGCCCAATTGCTACCAAAAGACTCTATTTATTACAGGTACTTATATAGCACCATCAATTTACGCAGTGCTTTACATATATATTGTATTGTATTTTTACAGCAGTCCCTAACCCTCAACGGGGCGTACAGTCTAAGGTCCCTAACTCACATTCATACATACACATACTAGGGCCAATTTAGACAGGAGCCAATTAACCTACCAGCATGTCTTTGGAGTACCCGGAGGAAACCCACACAGGAACAGGGAGAACATGCAAACTCCTGGCAGGTGGTGCTGTGGCTGGGATTTGAACCAACGACCCTAGTACTGCCAAGTGGAAGGGCTAACCATTTAGCCACTGTGCTGCCCACAACATATAGACAAATAGAGTCTGCAACTAACAGTTTTTATTGATTCTGTCAAATCATCTAGAGTGTTGATTGTAGAAAGTTAAGCAGCACCCCAGGAACAGCAGTTCGCAGGTGCAGTGTAAGACTCCTGACGGGCAGCTGTCTGCCTGTACATCCAATACAGACAGACAGCTACAGAATGACAGAAAGAATCAACGAGCTATGAGGATGCTCAC